TTAATTAGTAATCATATATTTATAATTAATATTGTAAAATAATTTATATATGTTTTTCAAATTAATAATATTTAGTTTAATTAATTATAAAACTAAAAATATTATTTAGTAAGAACATCATGGACTGAATGTTTGAAAAAATATATTAATATTTATAGATATAATGTCATAACACAATTTAACATATGCAAATTTCAAAATATTAATATAACGCAATTTAACATATTAATATAACACAATTTCAAAATACAAAAAAAAGAGTTTAACATATGTCAAATTCCAACATAATAAAATAAAAGATAAATAATGTACAAAAAAATATTTTTTAAAATTTCAAAAGCAATAAAAATAAAAACAAAGTTAACAAATTAAAAGAATAGAAATAAAAAGTTATAAAGAAAATAAATTAAAATAAAAACAAAAAGAAAAGAAACTTAAAAGCAACCTATAATTACACAGTATAATTACTACTAAATCCCACCTCCCGAAAATTAGAGAGTATATTACACCTCTCTAATTACACCCAATTCCATGATGATCAAGTAATTACTTGGCCAAACAAACATTTCAAACTATGTAATTACACCCAAATCCAATTCCTAGGTGGCTTTCCAAACATGCTCTAAGTGTTTAGAAGAAAACTATTTTTGAATAGTAAATAGTTTGCAAACTTTCAAAATCTACTTATTTTGAAAAGTATTTTTAATCGGAAGTATAGTAATCGCTTATGTTTGGCTAAATGAATTTGAAAGCAGTTTTGATCCACAATAAGGGGTCGTTTGGTAGGATGCATTAAATAAAATAATGCATCCATTAGCTTTGTATACTCACAATACCTTGTTTGGTATACTTTTTGAACCTATGCATTAGTTATGCAAGCATTGATTATACACCTTATTTGATATTATCCTATGCATAACTAATGCATAAGAAACCACAGTATTAACAATGGAATAAGTTTTAATGCATGCATTAGCTTAGTTAAAGACAAAAATGTCCTTCAAATAAAATACTTAATTAAAATATGTTATTATATTAATGCAAGTTTGAAATAATCCAAGAAAGGGAAAAATAAAGTTATATCCCTAGTAAATAAATAAATTCTTTGCATATTTTCTTTTTTATAAATAACTATCTAGTTTTATACTACAATATAGGTGTAATGACCCGACCGGTCGTTTTGAGCTTTTGCACCTTGCTCGTCAGTTCTCGGGCATGACTTGCCCCGTATGATGTGTTATGACTTATGTAAATCGTTGATTTTGGTTTTTAGGATAATCGGAATAAATTTGGAAGAACAATTCTCAGTTTGAAGCTTAAAAAAAATTGAAAGGTTTGACTAAGTTTTGACTTGTTAGTGTATGATCTCGGATCAGAATTTTTATGATTTAGTTAGCTCCGTTAGGTGATTTAAGACTTAGAAGCGTCATCGGAATGCATTTTAGAAGTCCGTGGAAAGTTTAGGCTTGAATTGGCGAAATTGAGATTTTGGCGTTTTCTTGTTGATAGGTGAGATTTTGATATAAGGATTGTAATGGAATTCCGGAAGTTGCACTATCTTCGTTGTGTCATTTGTGACGTGTGTGCAAAATTTCAGGCCATTCGGACGTGGTTTGGTTGGGTTTTTGATCAAAAGCGTAATTTAGAAGTTCTTGAAATTCTTAAGCTTGAATTCGATGCAAATTTGGTGTTTTAAGGTTGTTTTGAGCGTTCTGAAGGTTGGAACAAGTTTGAATGATGTTATGGGATATGTTGGAATGTTTGGTTGAGGTCCCGAGGGCCTCAGGTGAGTTTCGGGTGGTCAATCGAACTATTTCATGCTGTGAAATTACAGAATTGCTGCTGTTGGTGTTGCAGGTTTTTGACCTTCGCATTCGCGATGCATGTCACGCGTTCGTGAAGGGTTAAGGTGCGAGGCTGTGGAGTTTGCCTTCGCGTTTGCGAAGATGGTTCCACGATCACGAAGGTGTGAGGTCTTTGGTCATCGCGTTCGCGAGGTTCAGGTCGCGTTCGCATAGAGGAGGAAGGATAGCTGGGTCCTCGGTGCATTTGTTCTACGCATTCACGTAGTTGGGGTCGCGATCGCGAGATGTTGAGTGTGTTGTGCATCGCGTTTGCGAGAGCTTTCTCGCGTTCGCATAGAAGAGATTCTGGTCAGTGAAGCAGTGTGCTTCGCGAACGCGAGGGATATGTCGCGTTCGCGATGAAGAAATGTCTGGGTAGACAGTTTATATTTTTAAATTGAGGGTTTACGTCCAATTTCATAAAAACCATTGGAGAGCTCGGGAGAAGGTGGAATTTGAGAAGATTTTCAGTGGAGCTATTGGGGTAAGTATTTTTCACTCATATTTGGTTTAATTCCATGATTTGGTCTTGAATTTTATCATTTAATTGAGAAATTAGAGTGAAAATTAGGGAAAAATGGAAGAAAAGTTTGAGATTTCTTTTGGGGATTTGAATGGGCAATTGAGATCGGATTTTGACGAATTTGACATGGGTAGACTCGTGACTGGATTTTATTGATGTAATTTTTATCGGATTCTGAGACATGGGCCCGAGGGGTGGGGGGAGGGGATTGAGCAATTTCGGGATTTTTTTTATGTAAATTGGATATTTTTGAGTGGGCTTTGTTCCCTTAGCATATTTTAATAGTTATGTACTGATTGTGGCTAGATTTGGAGCATCCAAAGGTCGATTCATGAGGGGAAAGACATCACGAGCTAGAGTTTGGACCGGATCGAGGTAAGCAATGATTGTAAATGCTGTTCTGAGGGTTTGGAACCCTTGATTTCATATCGTTATGCTACTTTGAGGTGACACACACGCTAGATGACGAACGTGGAATCGTGCACCGTTGGGGATTGAGACTTGGTTTGTACCGTACAACTGTTAAGTGTGTATTTAATTTGAAATCTTATGATATTCCATGTTTTAGAGATTGATATTATATTTTGGATTGTATGTCATGTTTGAGGCCTTGTGCCCTGTTGAGATCCTTAGGGGCATTTTTACTATTGTTTCTCACTCTATTTGTTCCGAAAGCATATCCTCAGTCATGATTTACCTGTTTTATTGTCTAAACCTGGTTTTTATCACTTAAATTCTTAAAATGTGAAAATTGTTTGGGCTGAGTTCCCTGTTTTACTGATGGTCCGAGTGATCGTGAGGTTGATGGCTGAGATAGACCGAGGGTCTAATTGTGAGGTTGATGACTGAGATAGACCTAGGGTCTGATTGTGAGGTTAATGACTGAGAGAGGCCGAGGGCCTGGTTGTGAGGATTATATATCTATGGATCGGGCTACACGCCGTAACAATATATATATATATATATATATGTATATATATATATGTATGTATGTATGTATGTATGTATGTATGTATGTATGTATGTATGTATGTATGTGGATCGGGCCGAACGACGCATCGATATGTTGGATCGGGTTGCACGCCGCATCGATATAGCGCTTGGGCTGTAGGAGCCCCTCCGGAGTCTGCACACCCCAAGTGAGAGCAATCAACTATATATATGGATCGGGCTGCACGCCGCAATGATATATGGATCGGGCTGCGCGTCGCAGCAGTTACTATATGGTACTTATTGAGTGTGAGTGCTGAGTGTGAGCGCTGACTGATGAGAGTTGAGTTTCGAGTGACTGAGGCTTGCCCGAGGGGCTGTATACATATATGAGTGATGCTTTGCCCGAGGGGCTTGTTTGATATAATTGCTATTTTCACTCCTCTTTATACTGAGCCTCTGTTAAAAATGTTGAACAAATATTTTTAAACAAATTTTCATTTAAGCTGGAGTTTTTACGAGTTATTCGGTACTTAATCACTGATTTTGGCTTTGTTATTTCCACTGAGACTTTTATGATATGAGGTGTTTACGATTCCTGTTTTGCCGAGGGGCTGTTTACGAACTATATTTTGCCCGAGGGGCCGATTATGGCTTTCATCTCGTTTATTATAAATGGTATTGAACCCCTACTGAAACTGTTGGAAGGTATCTTTAAATGATTTTACCAAAAGCTAGATTTTAAATGAGACGGCTGACTCGTATTCTGATTTGAAAGCCTGTTGTACTTATTGAGTTTATCATAAATGTGGTTTCATCGTTTCCTACTGCTCAGTCTTTATTTACTCTTATTACTTACTGGGTTGGAGTACTCACATTACTCCCTACACCTCGTGTGCAGATTCAGGTATTTCAGAACCCGGTAGCTGATGTTGATTGCTCAGACGCGGAGTCATTAGAGTTAGCAAGGTGGTTGCACGACGTTCACAACACTGGTTCCTTCCTCTCATTTTTATTATTGTGTCTAGTACATTTTTAGACTCTTGTTGTATTTAGACCTTGATAGATGCTCATGACTAGTGACACCCCGATGTCGAGCTTGTGCAATTATTCTGTACTTTTCTTTTAAATTTTCATTATGAGATTATTGGTTTATAAATGGTATAAAAATAACTTTTATTGAAAAATGGTTGATTCGGGAGTTGTGTCGACTGACCTAGTTTCACGATAGACGCCATCACGATCGGGTCGGTTTTTAGGTCGTGGCAATAGGTAGACAAATCAAATAATTTTTTTAAAACCTTGTTCATATAAAAACATTGCTCAACATATATTTCCTTTAAAAAAATAAAGTGATGGACTAGTTATGAAAGTATTTTTGTAAACAAATAATTCTTTTAAAAATTGTGATAATTTAATACATCAAATCAAATAATGGATAAGAAATCAGCATAACTACTGTGGCATAACTATTTCCCTGATAATAAAAATTTAAATTATAAAAAAAAATACATTTATGTATTCAAAGAAAAATATCAGCATAACTAATGCAATCATAACTAATATCAACGTTATTAATACACTATATTATGCATTATTCTTATATACCCTGCCAAAGGAACCCTTAAAGTTTGGCAAAGCTTTTACCAAAAAGAAAGAATTAACGTAAGATCAATATGCGTTTTGTAGAGGCCCTATTCATCTAAAACGGGACGGAGGTAAATATAAGACCTACAAATATGGAACGAAACGTATATTCATCTTAGCAAAATAGGCATTTGCCAAAATCGTAGGAATAGCTTTTTCTTTTCCCTTTTCCGGCCACCTTCAAGAGGTGATGGGGTTTCCCGTTGCCTTGGTGCGGACTGAAGTATTGGGGTTGTAGCCGATTCACGACCGGCGCTAATCCAATGGGTTCGCTCATTTGTCCCAAACCTCGTCGTCTTGGGGATACCATTAGCCATTCGAACTGCCTTCCCTTGAGGTAATTATTTCTAATCCTTGTTAATCCCAATTTTTTAAGATTTTAATGACCCATTAATGTTGATGATCCTCTCTTTAATGGGTCTTTTTTGTTTTTGATGGTGGAAAAGAAATAAAGCTGATGCCTTTGTTTCAAAAAGTGGAGCAGAACTTACTGATCTCATTCTCAAAGAGGTACGTTTCTATTCACATTAGAATTTTTTTTTTGTAACCGAGAAATCGTCGAGGGCTTCAAAACTCTGTGGATAATGGACTCGCTCCTTTACTCTGTTTTTGTTTACTTTGTTTTTCTTCTTTATGGATGAATGTTGTCAAAACAAAGTGCACAAAAAGGAAAGATTTTTGAATAAGGGGTCGTAGTAGATTGATGGTCAATGTAGAAATAGTCTTGACTATGATGAATCTTTGAATTGACATTACTACCCAGGGATGAAACTTATCATTTATAGCTTTTCTGCATACAATTATGTCAACATTTGTTGTTTGCTAAAGCTTCGGAATCTAAAGCAATGTATACATGAAGGCNTAAAGCTTCAGAATCTAAAGCAATGTATACATGAAGGCTGTTTACATGATAAACCTTGCACATTGTGTTAGTAGGTTGGTGTTGCATCTTGCATTAATCTTTATAATCAGAAATATCTTGGACTTTTTGCATATAGTTAATATGAAAAGCATCCTCATCATCGGAGAGTGTAGAATTACAAGCTACATAAGGCAAGAAGTAGCTTTGATGCTTAAGTGATTTTAAGGTGTAAAGGTAATCAGTGGACAGAAAATATTCAATCCATAGGAGTAGGTAGTATGGGTTTTCATGAGACAAATTGAAAGTTGAGGTAGTTGAGAGTCCAATCAAATGATAATTGGCAAATAATTGCAATGTACGTCCCTGTCTTTCTGTCTATCAGTCTATCCCCATTCCTTAATACATGTCAATATTCTATCAGCCAGCTAGGCCTGGCCTCATCGATCCATACATTATTTTACTTTCTAATCCTTTTAACTTTCTTAATATGGAGCTCTTATGAGAATCCTAAATTTGCCTTAGCAAAATATTTTTAAAAGGAGCCTTATGGAAACACAATTATGGTTTTGTAGATATTCTTAACGAAGCATAATTCTAAAAGGAGCCTTAGGGTGTACAGTGATTAATCCCATGCCACATATTCTTGAGTAGGCCAGACGAATAGAAAAATAGAAAGGTCAATAGATGTTCAGTTCAAGTCATTTTTTTAGCTTGCATCAATTGCAGAAGGTAGAAGAGTTGTATTTGCTGATTATTTGTTCTTTTCTGTGTAGTCTAATGATAGTCTGCAAATGCAAGCTTGCGAGATGCACTTAACCAATATGACCTATGTAGTGATATGATGCTATCTTTAGCATATTGGTTTAATTAATTTTGGACTATATTTTTTTGTTTTTGTTTTTTGTACTGCTCTAGTGATCATATTCAACTGTCAATTTACCTGTGTGACTTATGTACATGCATAGCTGTATCGTTTGTCGATCTATTTCAAAATGTGCTGACTGTTTAAGAACAAAGTTAATAAAACATTCCACTGATTCAACCTGCCATTTCTTAAAATGATCTTCATGGTCTAACAGGATGGCATAGCTGCAACACAATACACATCTGATTTGTCGTCATCCCCTCCTTTCTTCTCTGGTTCACCGCCTTGTAGGGCTATGAATCCATTAATCCATGATGCTCGCTTTACAAATGAAAAACAATCCTGTTTTTCATCATCACCAAGTACATCTACTTCAGCTTCATCTTCTCCATCAACAATTTGTAAAGGAAGGTGTTCAATGGCAAGACTTGGGCAAACTCAATCACCAAATAGAGTAGAGGGTTTTGACTGCCAAAACTCCCACATGGCTGCTATGGCTTAAAAATCTTCCTTACTGAGAAGTATATAAAGTCGGCAGCTCAACAATGTATATAGAATATCTAGAAAAGAAGAGAAGATTTTGGAGATATTAGCTATTTATTAGAGGGGAAAAGTTCTGGTTTTTCGTTAATATTATTGTGCAACGATGTGGCTGTTGCACATTTATTTGAAATAAGGTGGTTGAGAGTTAGTTTTGTTTTGTGCTGTCACTCTCGATTGATTTTGGTGCCACAAATTTTTGACAATTTCAAAACCTGCAGTATTGTATATATCTGAAATTTGGAATAGGGACTGGTGATTGAGTTTCTTTTTCTTTTTCTGAGAGTATCCTTAATCTTGGTGGTTTCTGTTTCTAAAGAGTTGAAGATTTTTGATGTGTCTCACATATCTATTAGTTATGTAACACACAAGTTGGAGGATTCCACACAAGGTACATGCTTCAGTCATATAAATACCCTCACATAAGTTACAATAGTTAGAATACAGCCAAATTTCTTGGAAGAGTTGATGTCATGAAGTTGGAAGTATTCTATAGATATAATGATATGAGAACCTTTAACCAAACTTCTATTGTGACTTAAGTATTTGCAAGTGATATGATGATCATACACCCAAAAATGAAATCTTATCCTTTATGTCTCCAGTTTCTACAACTGTGGCCATGAAAAAGCTTGAGATATTCAATAACAGATATTGCCAAATTTGCAGCCCATACAATTCAATAGTAGATAAGGCAGCCCATACAAATGAAGCACAATAACTTTTTGGGAAGTGAAGGAATGATTGAATAACTTTCATATTCTAGAAGTGGTTGGGATGAGGGTGAATGTGTGGACCATAATTTGCATTTAAGATTTGCAGATATTATCAAGATGAAACTCATATACGCCACACGAATGTGAAACAACAAAATTTACAAACAAAGCACCAAATCATAATTATTATTAGTTCTCATAACTTGGTAGGAATCCAAAAACATACACCGAATAGAAAGTAGGAAACATAAACAATTTTTGTGGGAAGAAGAAAAAAAAAGAAGCTAAGTAACATTTCAAACAAACTGCCCCTAAAGTCAGACAATAGGGTAAGTTGTCCTAATATGAAACTTAGTAGCCTTCTGGCTTGTAGGCAATGAAACTGATGCACTGCACTTGACGCACGTTGTCGAATCCAATGATACGGATCCAGGCCTGTGGGTATGCCTTCTTCGCCTCTTCCACCTCAGCCAACACTTGGGTGGCATCAGTGCATCCGAACATAGGTAGCTTCCACATGGTCCAGTATCTGCATCAGTACCAGATTCAAGATTTAAAATTCAAGATTTCGTTCTTCTAAAACATGGTCTCGAAACATGATTTTTGTACTTCTTTTTAAGATCTGCGTACATATATCTATGATTTAACTAAAATATTGTGGATTTGGTACTGACCTGCCATCATAGTATCCTGGTGACTTGTTGTTTTCACGGTAGACAAATCCGTGCTGCACATGCAAAATAACATATTAAAGTTAAAAGTTAAATTTTTTCTAAATATATAAATATGTCGTCTTCTTCTTCTTTTTTTTTTGGAACAAATAGAAGGAAAAAAATGTCGCATAAAATTGAAGGAGTATGCAAAATTTAGAACAGATATTGACCTCAGTCTCGAATTCCAAGCAAGGAACCCATCCATTTTTCAAAAGGTACTCAACTTCACTAAGCAATTGCTCCTGGCTCAAATCAGGAAGGTATGAGAGAGTCTCGTACTTCTTCTTGTTAATTGGTGGCCACACCTATATTCCACCAAAATAGAATTTTTAGCTATGACATGTTAAGATGCATTAATTGTATCAAAATTTTTTGCACTGTCATTGTATATAAATTACCTGCATGCATTGCACTCTTCCGCCGTTGCTGGCAATGGAAGTGATGTCAAGGTTTTGCTTCCTTGAAACAGGGAATGAGGCAGCTGACTTAAGGCCAGTGAAAGGTGCAACCATGTTAGCTTGAGCAACATTGCTGCGGGTGGCAACTGCTGCAGAGGAAAGAACTGAGGAAGCCATTGTTAATTACACTTAGACAGAAAGATTTCTCTTTCTCTCTTTTCCTTTAACTTCCAATATGGTCATTGCATAGTTGCCCACCACCCTATATATAATGATAAGGTTTTACATATTTCCTATATCTGACGGACAAAAATCAACAACCCCCTCATCTTGGAATAAAGCTAACCATTGGATTATGTGGTTCTTGATTCACTACACAAAACTTAATATCCACACATGAAAGGTTGGAAAATTATATTTTGAGCTAAGCCACTCTTCATTTAGTCACCACAATGGAGGTGCCACGTGTAAGCACCTCAGTAATCTTATCTCATCCTAGATGGGGTAGGAAGAGGATATGAATGTGTGATTGAGGTTGGTTAATTTTTTTAGAGTCCCTTTTCCTTGGGCTTTAGCCGTATTGTTTATGTATATTTGTTTTGTTTCTTGTTTTTCCTAATATTCATGGTTTAGAAGTGGAAACTAATTTGATAGCTAGAGTACTGTTTGCTTCCTTATATTGTCCATAACTTGATGCAACACCACTATTTCCTTTACAATTAACTTGGAAAATTCTCGTGAAGATGATACCAGGTAGCCGCTTTTAAATATATTATTTAAAAATGTATCCACAGTTTACAAGTATTTAAAGATTAGCCAGTTCACTCAAACTTCAAGACGCTGCATCTTGAAGTTTAGATCTCAAGATTCAAACTTCAGGACATCGTGCCCTAAAGTTAAAAAATTATGTCTGAAAATTCAAATCTTATGTCCTGAATTTTAAATTAGCAGTTCAAAAATTCATGTCACTTAGTCTTGCATTTCGAATAAGCAGTTCAAAAATTCAAAACACTTAGTCCTGAATTTCAAATTAGCGGCTCAAAAATTTAGGACATTAAGTCCTGAGTTCCAAATTAGTAGCCCAAAAATTCAGGATACAAAAATTCAAGATACTTAGTCCTGAATTTTGGACGAATTGACTAATCTTCAAATACATTATAAATTGTGGATATATTTTAAATAGCAGGCTACTAGCGCACTTCGCCCTTATCTCGTTCCCACAAGCTTTCCAACAAACACAACTTCTTCTCTTTTCATGAATACTAATTTTAGGATACGCGCTTTGCGCGTGTACCAAATCGATAAATATATATTAAATGGCCAAATATATCCTTGTACTAAGAGAAAGGGTTTAAATATACCTTCGTTATACTTTGGGTCCAAATATACCCCTGTCGTAATACTATTGGTTCAAATATACCCCTCTTCTGTTAAGTTTGTCCAAAGTGGACATCCAATCTTACGAGGCATTGATGTTTGATGAAGGATGTCACATGACATGCCACCTCAACGCCCCTAATCCATATANGAGGAGAGTAAATTTTAATGGTGGAAAAAGTATAAGAGGGATAAAATGGGTTAGAGGCGAGGTGGCAAGCCATGTGACATCTGCCTCATCAAATGTTAATGTCATGTAGGATTGAATGTCTACTTTGGACAAACTTAACAGAAAAAGGGTATATTTAAACCAATAGTATAACGATAGGGGTTTATTTAGACTCAAAGTATGACGATAGGAATATATTTGGACTCAAAGTATAATGAGGGGCACATTTAAACTTTTTCTGATAGTACAAGGGTATATTTGACCCTTTTCCAGTTATTAAGGAATATGTTTAAGTTATTAAATAAAATTTTAACAAGAAAATGTAAGTTCCAAAAAACGATGAATATTGATCCCATTTAACTAACTCAATAAAGAAAAATTTCAATTCTACATAAGTCCTCAATGTCTTGTTGTGTTTGTCAAATATCGAAAAATTTAATTTTATAATCTTTTAGAGATTTGGGAATAAAGAAGTTCGGTCTTATAACTCCTAGGAAAAAATTGATAAGTTATAATAAAAAGTTTAAAAGTAATTAATGTTGAGTTAATATTTTACGAAAATAACATAAACACGAATGCGTAAGCACCGATGGTTTTCTTGGACTCCACCAACTCTAACTTGTGCTAGAAGTACATGTACAGAGATACTCAATTTTATACAAATTACTGTATATACAATAGTTTAGATATTTAATTTGGAACAAAAGTGCACATCCAATGGAACTTTAAAATTCTATATCAAATTATATTTACCTTCCTAATTAGTATGTCTAGTTACAAAAATATGTTATAAACGAATTGTTTGATATTTATTTAGTTGATTTTAAATCCTAAAAATTAAGATTTTACATAGTGATTTAAATAAGGAAAGCTTTAATATTTAAAGTTTTAATTGATTTCAAACTCCTAAGTATTAGGAAAATAATAAAATGATTATTTTTATATATTAGAAAAATAAGTTAAATTACTACTTTGTCCAATGTAAACTTTATTTTAAAAGTATAAAAACGACGAAAGACATTTCACTTAGGGCCTTCATGCTTTTAATATAGTATAGATATAGATATAGATAGNAACAAAGTTTTATATATGCCCCAATTTTAATAGCTGGGACACGTGGCACGCTCTGAGAAGACCAAAAATCACCTACACTAAATAAAACCAACCCGCCCCAATTCCACTGCCCCGCCCGCCCGACTCATAAACCCGACCAACTAAGTAAATACACTAAAATCACTGTAAATAACACAAACAAAAGATCAAAAACACTGAGAAAAAGAATCGACGAACGGGATGGGTTCCATCAGTGACAAAATTGCAGATTTGAGACTCAAAAAGGTGAGTTATTTCTTAAAATATTTCATGATTCAGCTAAGTGGTGTTTCTGCTAATTTTGTTAAAGAATGTGCGATTTCTACCTAATGTTTCGAGCTAGGCTTTTTTTTTTTTGCGGAAAATGTGCATATTTCTATTATTATACATGCTTATTACTTTGTAGTTTGTCGATTTAATGTTATTTTGTCGTGCATGTGCATCTTTTGAGGTGGTCCTTTAATTTCTGATTTCTGATGGTCTATATTTCTGATGGTCTATTATTGCTTGGAGTTGTGTCTTTTTGCTCGTGTATGATCGAATGGGGTCCAAATATACCTTATGCATGTGATTAAGTATATTGGAAAGTGGTAGCTATGCATTCTTTATTGTAATGTTCTGCATTTTTTACTGCTTTTTTCCAATGTTCTGCTTTCTTTACTGTTTTTCCCCATTCTTTATTGTTTAATTTCTGATTTATTTATTAAGTGGGGTCCATTTTGTATAAAGTATTACTTTATGGTCATAAATATTTTTACACTGTCTTATTTATGTTTGTAGATGGTTCTTGTTGACCTAGTTTTTAATTATGGGGGTGACTAGATTAACGAGCCACACCTAGTCTATTCAAAGATATTGGTCCACATTTGGAAAGATAAAGATTCTAACCTATTGTCCTTTAAAGATATAGTAGATGAATACATTCTTCTGTTAGGGTATATAGGGGTACAACAATTAATAATTGCTGGCCCATCTGGTAAGTATTATGAAGTTGAAGGAGATATAGGGATTAGACAGCTTTTATGCCTTGTATGTGATGAATTTAAGGTACTAAATGTCTATGCTGTAGATGAGTGTCAAGAAAGTGTTTGTGTCCCAAACATTGTCAACCATACTGAGGCTTATATATCTCAAGTATTAGTTGAAACTGATGATAGTAGTAGTGAAGATGAAGATGAAACTGAAGATCAGGCAGGTTCTGATGGTCTGGCCTATGATTCTGAAGAGTTAGAACAATTTGAGGCTCAAAGGAAAAAGCATCCTAGTGAAAACCTTAATGAATACAAAGAGATTTACAAAGGCATGTCTTTCAAGGACATTCCTGAAGCTAGAAAGTTCATGAACCTTTATTCATTGGTTAATCAAAAGAAATTAAAGCTGGTGAAAAGTGACAAAATTAGAGTAAGATATAAGTGTGTATTGGGCTGCCCATTTAAATGTCTCATTTCCATTGAAAAGGGCAATTAGGGGTATAGAGTGAAGACACTAGATCCAAAACATGACTGTAATACTGCTTTTGATAATAGTAGGG